TGTCTTCTGAGGCTTAGGGAGGGCCATGAAACCAGAGCATACAGTTCACAATGATGAGTCCTGAAGGCAGAGTTGGTGATGAAACGTAAAGCAAAGTGATAAACTATGTCCAGAGAGTGGAGAGCTGAGGAGGCAGCATTCATATATATGATGTCTCCATAGTCCAGAACAGGAAGGAAGGTGGTCTGAACAAGTCTTTTCCTCACTGAGGGAATCAAAGAGGATTTTTGTCTGTAGTAAAAGCCGAGCAGGGCTTTCAGCTTTTTTAACATATTATTTAAATGTGTTGTGAAAGACAATTTGTCGTCTATCCAGATACCCAGGTACTTATAACAGGACACAATCTCAATTGCTTCTCCACTTGAGGTCTTAATGCCGTGATGCTGTGAGTTTTGGGAGCGAGCTTTAGAGAATATCATGAATTTTGTCTTTTTTTACATTTACACTGCAAAAAATATAAATCTCAATAAGTTATTTTTTCTTAAAATAAGTGTGTTTTTCCTTGATTTGAGGAGGTAAGTAAGACACTTTGCCAATGGAACAAGACAATTTCCTTTTAAAATAAGAAAAAACTATTTTATCGTCTTATTTCAAGTAAATATTATCTAACTATCTTATTTTAAGAGTGAAAATACTCATTCCATTGGCAAATCATCTTATTTACCTGCTCAAATTAAGGCTAAATATACTTAATTTAAGCAATTTTTTACTTATTTCTGGATTGTTTTTGCAGTGTAGGACCAACTTCAGCTGATTTAGGGAGACCTGAAGTTGATGGAAAGCAGACTGAAGATAATTCAAGGCATTGTTAACTGAAGATGCCATTGAATATATTATGGTGTCATCAGCATAGAGGTGAAATTTAACAGATTTCAAGTTATTTCCAATGTCATTTATAAAAATAGTGAACAGGGCAGGTGCCAAAATTGAACCTTGAGGAACTCCAAGAATGTAGACAGACAGGTAAATTGAGAACCTTGCTCAGTTTTCTCTTTACCACAATAGACCGGCGCATTGTCTGCATTACAGCAGCAGCCTCACCGACCCGTCTATCGATCTCCCGCTCCTTCCTCCTCTCGTTAAAGAACAGGACCCCAAGATACTGAAACTCCTCCACTTCTGGCTGTAACTTACTTCCAACCTGAAGGGGACAAGTCACCTTATTCTTGTTGAGATGTAAAAGTTTCTCAGGGATTGTTTAGAAAGTCTAGTTTAAAGGGAAAAACAATATCAAGGAGCTACAGTAAAAGAAACAAACCAAAAGATACAGTAAGAGTGGGGTGTAAATGGTGGACATATAAATTAGCCTCGCATACATTCTTCTGTTTCTTTTTTATGTTGTCTTGTTTTGTTCCAGAAAATCTTACCAGGTCTGTCATATTTATTCTTTTTTAATGATGATTTCATTCTTTAAAGGAGGAAAGTTATCCAAACCAACCTGGCCCTGATGTGAAGACTAACTGCCCCCTAAACGTTCCACCATTGGCAGAAAGAACTGGCATTGAGCGTTAGCAATAACCGCTAATGAGTCTTTCTCATCGCTGCGGAGGAGTTCTGGCCTTAAGATGTTTTTAGCTCCATAGTTTCTCCATTTGCACATATTGGCTCCAACTTCAAATCTTTCCAGCCTGAAAAGTGTTACTATGTTTTTGTGGTTTCCTTTTTTGTTTTTTTCCGTTTGGATACAATGGGATTTCTTTTTATGTTTTGGCCCACTTCATGTTGTCATACAGGTACTTTCCAGGTGCTAATCAGACTAAAAAAGATAAATCTTCATTTATTATTAACAAGTAACAGAAAATGCTCAATTTCTGCTGTGGATAAAGATGTAGGTATTCTCATCATATCGCTCATTTTCTGTCAGTCTTTCTAGGTTGAAATATCAGTTATTTAAAGCAGTGTTTATTTTAAAGACTGCTTGTTTCTATTTACTCTGGTATTCTTGGATATCCATCCATTTATCTTCCTCCGCTTATCCGGGGTCGGGCCACTTCTTCCAGCTCTTCAGGAGGAACCCCAAGGCGTTTCCAGGCCAGAAACATAGTCTCTCCAGCGTGTCCTGGGTCTTCCCCGGGGCCTCCCCCCGGTGGGACGTGCCCAGAACACCTCACCAGGGAGGCGTCCAGGAGGCATCCTAACCAGATGCCCGAGCCATCTCAACTGGCTCCTCTCCATGTGGAGGAGCAGCGGCTCTACTTCGAGTCCCTCCCGAATGACCCCTATCTCTAAGGGAGAGCCCAGCCACCCTACGGAGGAAACCCATTCCAGCCGCTTGTATCCGTGATCTCGTTCTTTCGGTCATGACCCAGAGTTCATGACCATAGATGAGGGTAGGAACGTAGACCGACCGGTAAATCGAGAGCTTTGCTTTTTGACTCAGCTCTCTCTTCACCACGACTCTTGGATATTACATTTATTTTAATAATCTGGTCAAATGTCGAACCTCTATTTTCAACCTCTGTTAAAATGGAATATCACCATTATATCATCATTATACATCCCATAATAAGCACATTCAGGTGTTAAAACATCTTCTCTTTAAAGGCTTGTGTATTCAGGACACCTTTCATATTTTTTTAAAGGTTGTTTTGGACATTATTTGATCAGCTGTATAGATTTCTTTGAAACTGTGCTCCATATACAGTAGAAGTAGAATGGATAACTTTAAAGGTCCAAACCTTATAAATGCATTTTATTAATAGTTTTTATTCAGAAATTTATACAAATTTAAAGGGACAGTGTGTAAGTTTTACCATCACAAGAGAAAAACAAACAACAGACTGGTGCCTCCCTGTCAAGTTTAAGGGACACACTACGGAAGCCATGGAGTGACATATTACTCTGAAGGGAGAGGACACATCAGCCTCCGTTACTCTTTTTAAAATCGGCTAATGTTGAAACAGGTGCAACAGTTCTATTTTGGTCACAACCTGGCATAACAGCAGCCGATAACTGTTGGATAAATATTGGAGCTTGTCTAGTGTAAGCTAACAAACAAGCTACCCGTCTTTACCAGCAGGACAGAGCCAGCTTTATCACCCTTGATATATCGGCTGAAATATATCATGAAAAACATGGAAACTCTCTCAGAAAACAGAGATCAAAGGAGCTAATGGCCGCCTGCTTGTATGACTTTTGTGAATAAAACAGGAGCTGATAATGAGATTTGTTTTTCTTGCCTCTCACTGAAAAAGAGTATGGATGGTCCATAGTTGCCGCATACAATGCTGAATTGAATTACATTGCAACAAGAACACCTTTTCAGATACAGGTTAAACACGTATGGTTGACAAGTTCGTCCCCTTTGGCTAAACTGGCAACATGTATTTTTTTAAGGCAATACCTGATTTTTGCTAATCAAAGGACACATTTTATCCACTGTCCCTTTAAGTTTTTAAGATTTAAAGGAGAAGTCCGGTCATATTCAGAATTCAAATTTCTGAAAGTACTTGAAATATGAAATTGTCACATACCGTTCAGTAAATGATAAGTGTTTTTAATTAAGAGTGGGTTTTATTTGAATGTGCTTTACTGGAGGCATAGCCTCGGGAGACCATCCTGATCTCGTGAGCTTTCAAGATTTCACTCGCAGATCAGTCTGGAGACTCTCCGTTGAAGAAAATTTGGAGCCGTTCACCAAACGAACGTCCAATCAGCGTAGGCTTTGAGGCGGGTTGAGGTGTGACGCAACGAGAAGCGCGACAGTTCAGTCTAAAGAACATGGCGGCTTCAGCCGATGAAACTAGCGTTAGCGTGGCTATCGAGCAAGTTTTATCGGAATTACAGAGTATTTCTTCACTGAAAGAAGAGCAGAACACTGCTCTGGAGGCTTTTCTCAGAGGAAAAGATGTTTTTGCTCTTCTCCCGACTGGTTTCGGCAAGAGTTTGATCTATCAATTGGCTTGTGCCTGGCTTGTGGTTGTGTTTTCGTCGTCGCTCTGTTAGTACGTCATATGCTTCGTTGATCTGATTGGTTTATTTGGCCCGTCTATCACCAACATAGGCCAATCAGCTAACCAGTATTTTCGCCCCTTCCCAAAATTACTTCAACAGAAGGTTTCCAGATGGATATGCGGAGCAAATCCAGCTGGCGGAGTCAGGTTACTGGAGGCATCCATGTTTGTCAAAGAACACTACTGCCACCTACTGGTTTGTGACGTCACGGTGCGGTATCGGTTGTTGATCAAGTCCCAGTGCTGTATCTGGTGTTTGTCACAACGCGCTATTATCCAAGTCATCTTGAAAACATTCTTCCAAATGTTGGCTACATATTACGGGTTTTTTCTCTGGCCAGAAGTTCGATGGCAAATCCTCCCTCTTCAAGTTGGCAATCCAACGACCAACCCATCCGTGGAGGACCATGAATAAGAAAGGTGAAATAACAATCTTTTTTTTTCACTTTTACCCGATGTATTACAACATCCAACTGACATGCACGTGGGCATTGCTACTTTAACTATAGCTCTGGCGAATTTCAATGGTGAAGTCTACAATAATTGTTGTTGATTGCAGATGTGTCTCATAGTTCCCATTGATTTTGCTTGTAAAGTGGGGAGAATAATGCTTAATTCATTAAATCACCACAAACATATTAGTTTTAGGTATAAATAATGATCCATTGATTATTCCTTGCTGACCAGACTTTTCCTTTAAAGTTCTTCTAAGGAGAAACATGTTAACAGTAATGATTTCTGCATCAAGCCCTCAGCGTTGGTGCAGTTAGTTCATAATCTGTGGGTACAAATCCATCCTGTCATAACAACAATTTGGTATTTCTGCATGCTTTCCCAGTTTATACATCATGCATATGTGTTCAGTGAGGTAAATTTTACATTAGTTCCCTTTCTGAAAGGCCGGGCTGTAGTCTCCATACCTCGGGGGGGGGGGGGAAATGTCCGATCCGGAAGCTTTCCCCGCCATGTGAGGCGCAATAAAAAAGCCCCCACTTACTCTCCTCCCTCCCCCCTCTCAACCAGCGACATGGTATTTGCACTGCTGAGGAGAATGTGAGCTAATGAAAGTGTAAAGCCTGTGTTCACTAGAGTATAAAATTCACATTTGGCCAGTACTGGCTGTGCAATCTGATATTATGAGCCCTGCTGCTGAGAGAGCAGGGGGTTGGAAATGGCAAAAAAAGAGAGAAAAAAATTCCAACAAGAGAGAGACACACTACGCCAGAGCACATTTTGTGAAATGATTTTGTTGTAATCAGTCTGGTTAAGTTGTTGCTATCGTAATTTTAACATTATCGTGTAATAAGTATGGCGAAAAGTCCAACTTCCTGGGGAAAAAAAAGGTCTGGAATTAACAAAAAAAAAAAGTCGCAGCCGGAAAAGAAATGTCATCCTGGTAGCGTTATTCAAAGAAAAGTGCAAGAGATTAACCAAATGCAAGGTACCGTACGCCGCCATCTTGTTTTTTTGTGCACACATAGAGAGAGCCGCCGTTAGCTCTGTTAAATGGAGGTTTGCTGCAGACAGAAACGAGGTCACAGACAGCGTAAGGACATGACGCAAACAAACCAAGAGGGTGAGAAAAAGGTCTAACCAGGACTTCTCTGGGTTTAAACAGCATAAAAAAAAAAAAAAAAAAAAAAAAAAAACAGATTAATCTGGAAATGAAACAAATCGGATATAAAATAAATAACTGCAAGCTTGTTTTGATCCATTTTAGCATCTTACTAAGTTGACAGCTCTACTGCTTTTTGACTACTTGCTCAGAAGCATAAAATAAAACTATTAAAACATAATAACTAACATTGTGTTCCGGATTAAAAGTCGGCAGTTGTGTTCTGGCAGTAAGAGGAGTCTTTTGTTGAGCTACTAGCTGCACTTCTTTCAGGTCAAAAGTTCAAGCACATTAACACTGGCTGACCTATTTTCTCTACTGAACTTCGGAAGGCATCTCTTTGTGTTTGGGTTTATCCACTTCTATCTACCCAGCTGGATAAGTCAGTGAATATTTTCCTTTTTAGAATAAAAACAAAAATGCCACTTTTTGTATTTAAATAAATTATAGACACCAAATCTGTGGATTCAGTGTATATATGTAGCGAAAGGTTAAAACGTTGCGATAACTGTAATATTTTCTTTAGTTCTTTCTGTGTATAGTTTTTTCACGAATATTGCATCTTAAATATGCATGAAATATTAATTTCCGAGATGGCTGCAAAAGCTTTTTATTAAAGATCAACCTTCTTAACCTATAATCACATGGACATAATTTTGTTCCATTATTGTTGCAAAGAAAGATCCTGCTTTCTAAATGGAAAAAAGAGTTACAGTACTCTAAATTTTTCGTTCAATTTTTCCTGTTCCTGTTTTTTTTTTTTTTTACAGATTTCTTTTTTAAAATGCAATTTTTTTTAGATTTTTATTTTCCAGATTGAGTTTATGAATTGGATTTTTTTTAAATGTACTAATGATCTTTACTTCTGGGCTTTACTCTAGAGTAAAGATACAGATTTTTCTGCACGAACATTAGAAACAACATTTTTATTCATCAAGAGCAAGCATTCGTATTGGGCCTGATTTCAAAAGAATGTGATCTGTGGAACACTAGAAACGACGCAATTCGTAAAACTCAATTTGAAAAAAGAGAAATTATAAATGCAAAATATATAAATCTAAAACCTTTAATGAAAATAAAAAAAATTCTGGAAAAAAAGGAAGAAAAAAAGGATAAACAAAGTTCTTCTCAGAACCTTTATATAAGGAAGAAGTTTTTCAAAATTTAATTTCTGGATTGCTTTGTTCCAAATTTCCATTTACAAAATGCAATATTTACAGAACAAAAATAACTCCAAAACTTAATGTATAAATATCACTACATACGAATTAGTCTAGATATTTATATGTTCTTCCCTTAAATAAACATACGGCTGCAGCCCCATTTTTATTAAACTAAATACAAGACGTCAATTTTTAAATGATCTACATGAAAATTGTTTTGTTCCTTTTGCTGCTAAATCTATCATCTTTACTGTTTACATTTAACCTCGGTTACAGGGGATATACAACAATCTAACAATATATTTGTCCCTAAAAAATTACACTTAAATATCAACCCTATGCAGCCCATCATTATGAATCACCATTAGTCCCCGCCAGCGTTTGCAGAGAAGATGAGAGGGCGGATAGGAGCGAAGGTCAAAAGTCACATGTTTGTCAGCATTAGAACATGATCCGTGCTGCGGGTGAGCCAGTCAAGCACCGTGATGAGCAAGGTTGGCAATTATCATCAGGCAAATGGAGGCCTACCTAAATGATTGCATGCTATTGTGTTTCTGCAGAACTTTGCAAAGACAGCGTGGAAAATATAAAGTGGCCATCACTGTGGATTAACTTTTATATTTCATTCAGACTTATATATGGGGAGGGAGGGGCATTGTCTCACCAGGTTCACTCAGAGTGTATGTAGGCCAGCATGTGCTGCGGAGTGCGGTGGCCCTTTAGCTATAGGCCAGCCTTGTTTTGAAGATGTCTAATTTTCTTTATTTTTGTCTGTAACATCTCTGCCTCTTATTTCCTTTATATAACCAGGTGAAGCTGTGTTTTTTTTTTCACTGCAGGCGTTCAGACCTGTTTACTTAGAGCTCCGTTCAGATTAGCATGAGGTGCAGCCTACTGTAAAGACCGCAGACAGGCTAAATAAAGTCATTAGATGTTAGGAAAAAACAGTCTGGATGGAATATCCATATTTTTTTCATCCCAAATGACTTCAAACCTTTTCAGGGATTCTGCAAAGAGTCACATCGAAAGACGATCCTATTATTTTGTATTTTACTCTTAATCCGGCAAAAATACTTCAAATACTGAAAGTATTATTCAGAAAAAACAAATACAAAAAGATATTATCCCTTAAAAATCGGTTTACTTAACAGTTAATCAGAGCTTCCATACAGTTGTATTAAATTTTCAGTTGTTAGCAGTTGTTGTTTTGACCCATTAAGAACCAGTGGCTGATATTTTATATCTTGTTTTTTTTTGTGTATAATGAGATGATGGGATTTAAAATTGTATTTTGGAAGTTAAAAGAATGCAGTGTTTTCCGTGTGAAAATTTTAAACATGTTTTATATAGAATTTAATAATTATCTTCTTTTTAGATCATAATTTACAGTAGAATCCTCCTTTGGTTTATGTAGACGAGACCGGTTGGTCATCGGGGGTCAATAAAGCAAAAAGAGAGACCAGAAAAGACAGAAAAGTGTCGTAGCTCAGAGGTTGACTTTAAAACTAAAACCCAGCATCATCTTGATAGTTCATCAGCGGCATTTTGGGGTTCTTGACCATTTGGATAGAGACTAAAAATAAATCCAAATCTCACTGTTTTATTTCCATTACCGTTTCTAATATTTAGATATTAAGATCAGACCTTTTAGTTGGTTGCTTTTTATGACGATTATTGCTTGTTTTTTGTTTTTTCCTATCTTTTATTCAAACTTTAGTCATAGAGCAAATGGTGATACGATCAAGTCTAAAACAGACAGTTTAACAGAAGCTGTAAACAACAAAAATCAAAATGAATAAATCAAGTAAACAAGATGATAGCTATTATTTACTGTTATTAAAAGACTAAGCTGATCAAAGAGAGAGATTTTTCTTTTTATATTATTTAATCTATATTAATTAGTTTAGCTTAAGAACCTCTTTTTAAGCGAGTCCTGGCCACGAGGCATCAAATGTTACATAACAATAAACAAAACACAATTTAAAAACAATTACAATTTAATCAAGTTGATCAGATTAATGAAGCACTCAGAATAAGGAACTTTGGAAATCCAATCGTTTAGATTAGATTGGTGAGGAAATACTGGAGGGTTTACATGTCGTAGAAGGAGAAAAAAGTCGAACTGATCACACGTTACAGTAGATGGTAGATAAATAATCATAATAACTATAAAAGGAAATAACCTTTTTTTTTTTCTAAATCAGGGGTTCCCAAACGTTTCAGCCTAAAACCAACGAGGTAAAAATGTAACAGATTCACGTCACCTAATAACTTCACTCAATTTCTATTCCTACATATAAAGCGATGTTATTACATAAATAAAAATATATATATTTTTAAATATTTAATTAATTAATTTTATTTTGATATTTTAATGCTTTCATTTGATTTCCTTTCTATGTTTTTATTTATTATTAAAGGAACTTTAAGAATTACAAATATGAAAATACATAAATAAAAAATGTTAAATTTAGTCATTGTGCATTTTATAATCGTATGTTGGTAATAAATATATACTTAATCTATTTATTATTTGTACAATACATGCATGTATTTTATAGTATATAGTCCTCCACATACCTTAGGAATAATTGTGACCCCCCACTTGGTGTCCAGGGACCCCTCAGGGGGTCCTGACCTTCACTTTGAGAGCCCCTGCTCTTAATAAATAGCAGGACTTGACTGGAATATTAAAAATGAACAATAACAACATATTAAAATATTAAAGTAATAAAAATAATAAAACATGAAGGTTGCTAGGGATTAAATAAAAAACATTAATGATATAAGCTAATTAATAGCTATAAACCTTCATTGAATATTTGTTTGTTTTGCTTTTATATAAAAAGAATTATAAAATGTCCTCAAGATTTTTATAACCGGAAAAAATCTCAAGAATTCTGGGAAACTGTTAAAGGAACGCATAAGCTGACGATGCTCTGACCTCCGGTTGGTTTTTTATATTTATTTGTATGATTGCAGCTTGTGAGGTTGCCGTGCGTTTGCATGTTACCTTGCATTAAAAGATATCTTCAAGGCAATAGAAAATAGAAATTGAAATACCAGAAGCATAAAAAAATTAAATCTGCATATATATATATATATATATATATATATATATATATATATATATATATATATATATATATATATATATATATATATATATATATATATATATATATATATATATATATATTATTTATTTATTTTTTCAGACTCCAAGTAAAGGTGTTTTCTGTGAGGTTGTCGCTCAGGGCTGGAGTGGAAAGTCAAAGAGAGGTCACGGTGATGAAGATGGCCAGAAAGAGAGAAGTTGTGTTCAACACGACCGCAGAGGGGAAAGATCCCACTCCACTGCAGAGAAATCAAACTCACCTCTGGATGTATTTTTGTAACATTGCTGCAGTGGGTTTTGGGAGGACTTAAAAGGGATGTGTGGAAAGAAGGTAATGCACATTCAGAGTGCGATGCGTGTTGCATTTCAGCTGCCAGACAGCCGCTCAGCCCTTTTTCCATCCCAGATTTAGGTCGAACGGCTACAGAAGTGTTTTTCTCCGAAACTCTGCCTCCAGGTTCTTTTCCCATCCCCGGCCTCGTTCAGGGAGACCTTCACACTCCATATCCATGTTCCCCTCCGGCCCTTAACCTTGTTTTGGACGAAATCAAAGACTCTACAGGTGAAAAACTTTAAAATTCACCTTTGGTATTCAGCTCCCAACTGTCATTGTGGAGAAGGAGTAAAGTGTCTGAGAAGTACAGGTATTCAATTGTGTGGAATGTGGTGTAAAATGAGCGGTGGCAGCTTAAACTTTCCGCCTATAAAATCCTCACATATGTTGGGATTTGCAAAACTGTCAGACCTGATTCCTCTGCAGAGTCAACCTCACTGATTTAAAGAGGGAAAAAAAAAGTTCTGTTGTAACTGATTAAAAAAAAAAAAACATTAATTGAACCACAAAGTGGCAAAAAATATAACGGCAATTTGTCACTGAAACATCCATAAGAGGAACAAAGTTTTTAGTTACGCATCATCAAATCAATTAGGAATGTTATTTAACTACAAAATGTCTCCCAAATGTATTTTTTATGTAAGAATATTAAATATTTGGCATAAATGTAATTAAATTCGAAAATGTCACTGCATTCTATATATTGCTCTTTATATTGTAATATTTGCTAAGAAAATCGATAAAATCTAAACATTTTTCACTGCAAAAATGACCTCAAAATGAGTAAAAATGTCTTAAATTAAGGTTATTTACCCTTAATTTGAGCAGGTAAATAAGATGATTTGATGGAATGAGTATTTTTACTCTTAAAATAAGGTATCTAGATATTATGCACTTGAAATAGGACAATGCAATTGTTTTTTTCTTATTTTAAGTGTAAATTGTCTTGTTCTGTTGGCAAAGTGTCTCACTTAAATCCTTAATTCAAGAAAAAATGCACTTATTTTAAGCAAAAATGACTTATTTAGATTTCATCTTTTTGCAGTGTTGTATTTTACTCACAAATGGTAAAATTCAGCCCATGTACATCCGCTGCACTGTTGAATAAAAATATCATTAGATTTTAAACAAATGTCACATATTGTTTCATACATCTAATTAATTATGTTTGCATTTTAACTCCTGGCCTAGATTCATATTCTTGGACTATTTGCTGGATTTTTTTTACACTTTTCTCTTCAATTTTCACATTAGATGTAGCGTTCCAGATTCATAGATGCAGAGAATTGATTCTGGGGTCAGCATGTCGTCCTGTGTTTCTTAAATTTGCGGCTCCAAGTGTCAGAGCGTGGGTTCCGCTCGCGGTTTTTTCCATCGGCTCCCAGTTTGTTCGGTAGACGGCACACTCGCTCCACATTAAAATCAGCAGAGTCCTAATGGCGGCTTTCGGTTATGACACAACCAAAAAGAAAGAATGCGTGTGTGTGTGGGTCAGACAAGCTGACCGAGCACTCACCTCTCCCCAAACACTTTTATTTATTTATTTCCACTGTGGATTAAAGAGCTTTTGTTAAGCTAACCTACATAACAGCTTGCTTGTGCAGCCAATGCGACAACAACGCATCACCTTGATACAGATACGATGAGAGATGCCTCAGAAATAAACACAATGGCTTCTCCGTCACTCATGTTGGCCCAGTTAGTTACTGGAAATCACACGGACACTTCATTAGACTCTTTTGAGTTTCTCCACTCAAGCACATTATGCTTTGCTGAGAAACTTGGGGCCTATTGAGAAGTAATTTACTTCCATATCATGAACTGAGGCCGTCAGAGACAATTAAATCTTCTTGTTTGTTTGTGCTGAACAGCGGTTCTCAGTCAGATTCGGTTTTCCTTATCATCGTTTTAAATGCACGGAGTGAATTTGGTTCCGTTATCGGTGCAGCATAGAACACCAATTTGTAAATGGAAATTAGAAAATATTACAATATAGAAATAATAGAAAAACTGAAAACTTCTCCATAAAAAAAAAAAGTTTTAAAAGTATCTTTGATTTCTTTCAAATAATTTTAAATTTCAAGCAAAATATTAATTTTTTATTTGTTTTTTTTATATTTCCTTCTTCAGATTTAGCTTTACGAACTGCATCCTTTTCCAATTGTGTAGGAATAAATTCTGCACTGGAAAAACGATCTAGAAATAAGTAAACATTTCTTAAATTAAGTGTATTTGTCATTAATTTCAGTAGGTAAATCAGATAGTTTGTCAATGGAATGAGTATTTTTACTCTTAAAATAAGATATTTAGATCATATGCAATGGAAATAAGACAATGCAACTTTGTTTTCTTATTTTAAGTGTAAATTGTCTTGTTCCATTGGCAAAATATCTGTTTTACCTCCTCAATCCAAGAATAACTGCACTTATTTTAAGAAAAAATTACTAATCTTTAGATTTTTCCAGTGTGGTAGCAGATTTTCCTATGGAGTAATAAGCATTTTGATTTGGCGAGGTGCGCCTCAACACTGCAAAAACGATCTTGAAATAACTTAAAATTTCTTAAATTAAGTGTATTCGCCCTTAATTTGAGTAGGTAAATGAGATAGTTTGCCAATGGAATGAGTCATTTTATTCTTAAAATAAGATAATTAGATAATATGCACTTGAAAAAAGACAATGCAATTGTGTTTTCTTATTTTAAGTGTAAATTGTCTTGTTCCATTGGCAAAATATCTCTTTTACCTCCTTAATTCAAGAACAAATGCACTTATTTGAAGAAAAAATTACTTATCTAGATTTCGATTTTTTTGCAGTGAATAGGAAGGGTTTCTATGGAGCTTGAAGTGCAAAATATCAAATCTGTAAATAAAAAAAAAAAATAAATAAATCTTCAAATAGTCTGCAAGCTCAGGGTCTTCCTGTGTGGAGTTTGCATGGTGAGTTTTTTTTAAATAGATGGTTCAAAGTTTCTTTTCTGGATTTTTATTTTTTTTTTTATTATTCTTTGTTTTCAGTAATAATCAAACAAAATTAACCGTAAGTAATAAAATCACAGATAAAACTTTTCAGCATTAAATGCCATGATTCCCATTATGCTCATCACTCTTTATATGATATGAAAACATTTATAAGATATGCAAAAAATAATAATTTCACAATAAATCAACTGCGTAATACTGCGAAATCACACAGTAAAACATATTAACATAAATTTATCTTCAGCTTAAAACTCTTTAGTTAAATCTGGATTTCTGGCTTCTTTAGTACAATGCCTAAAAGTCTGAGAAGTGAAAGCCGGACAGTTTCTGTTTCACTAAAACTGTAGCTATAGTCTTTGACGGCAAATTAATAAATGCGTTTTACAAACAGGTTTTACACGTATAAGAGCAATTTATTTGTACACCATGATAAATAAAACGCACAAGCAGTAGGTAGAGGTCGATTTATGTTTTTCGGAGGTATGTTTGAATATTCTGTAGGCATACACAGGATATGTTTTAATTAATCATCTTCAAAGTATTATTAATGATCTAAATCTTCAAAAACAATTTAATAATGTTTAAACTTTACTTCTCTAATACCTTTTTATTCAGGCTTTTTGTATTACTGCTAAAAGTTGTAATAAAGATTATAGATCTCAACCGAAATAAGTTAAGAGATTTAGTTTTACAATGTTTTTACTTGCTTCCTCTGCTGAATAATCATGTTCAAAATGAAATATATATATATATATATATATATATATATATATATATATATATATATATATATATATATATATATATATATATATATATATATATATATATATGTTTAAAGCTACTTTACATAATAATAATAAAAAAAGAAAAATGCTTATCTTCCTTTGATATTTTATTACTGCGTGTTAAATCGAGTTTTCCAGTTTCATTTTTTTCACATGCATACATTCGCATTGAGAGGCAGATGCATGTTGTACATGGATTATGCTCAAAGGTTCATAATTAGAGCATGAAAGCAAACAGCAGGGAATAAAAAAGACAAACAACAAATGTCTAAATGCTTCATCAGTCTGGGGGAGAGGACTACAGCCCATAATGATATCACGCCAACATGGTTTAAGGGATTGTGCCGTTTTTCCAGCTGGTCACATGAAGAGGTGAATGTTCCGGAACCTGTCTGGTTCATGGGCGCTGCCCTCTGAGGTATCACCCGTTTAAAGCTCTCAGGGGACAGAGACCGTTTACGCACGGGACACGAGGAGCACATGTCCTCTGTCCTCACATGTCCCCGCATCATGCTGAGGTCACGGGGAGGTTGGCGTGGAATATGATTGTCTCCTGTGGCATGTAATGTAGGACTCCTCTGGTTGATGGCTCTAATTTGAAACCGTCTCTCGGTGCCCTGCTGATGGCAGCAGTGTCAAGTCAAAGTCTGCATCTGAAAGCAGGACACTCACAGATTATTCTATCAGGGATTTCAGAAACTGGCTTTTCTGTTTCCTGGCTTGTAGCGTGTAAAAGTATTTTTATGGGATCAGGAACACAGGATTGTGTTTGTCGGAGAGAGCCGTGAATAAAATGGAGGAACGGCGTGAAAAACAGAGAACGGAGTCTTTCATGAGCACAGGTATGAAAAGGGCGAGAGAGTATGGGAGCGAAACACAGCTCAGCGTGGTCAGCGCGCCGCGGTCAGATTTAGTCGATCTTTCTCGAGGGCAGCGGCCATGATGAACTCGAGATGAACCCGCTTGTATCTGAGAGAGCTGAGCAGATCAGGGCTGTGATTGGACGAGGCTGCAGCTTCGTGTTTGGGAGATTATTGAAGCTAAGTTCAGACCATCATCAGCGCTCCAAAAACACCCCCCCTCCTCCATTTACGACGATTCAAAATGTTTTACAGCCCATTAAATTGACCTATAGTTTCCTATCATCAGAATACAGAGAGCAATTTTTTTTTCTTAGTAATATTTAGAACTTTATAACTATTTTTATTTTCACATCTAATCCTAATTAAAAGAAAAACACTTAAATTAATCATCCTTTATGCAACTGAAGAACGTTAAGTAATAATTAAGAATAAAGCTGGGAAAACATGTAACGGTTATAAATTTTTTATTAATAACTCTCTTTTAATTTAAAAAGATTGAAATCTTAATGTAAATATTACTACACACTGATGCCTAAAGTAACTCAAACAGAAATTATGAGAAGATATACTTTGGATTTTTTCTAAAAACAAAAGAAA